CACTCCAGCCAAATCACGGTTCTTAGCGTTGCAGAGAGGCTTCGCTACCGCCGTCGTCCAGAGGATCACCAGTCGGCATGCCTTGCAGATGACACAGAAAACCGCTGGTAGGCCGTAGAGCACTGATGTACGGGGGAGACCGTGGGATTCAAATAGGCCTTGGGGTTAAGTTGTTGCCAGAGAAATGGTTCCACTAAATTTCCAGCGAATAGTTTATCCGCGATAGTTCGCCGGCAACAATAGTGGAGCTCCGGCCGGTTACCACGCCTTCTGTCTCGACTTCCATCTGAGTTTTTCTTTGCGTAGATGTATGCTCATCTCTTGATTTTACAAATGTGAAGTAGACTTATATCTATATACAAAATAAGTGCAAGTGGCTTATCATAAGTTAATTGTGGATGTGATGTGTTTGTTGATGCTGGATGAGATAGCTATTGCGGAACGTATAGTAATTGCTATTTTATTCGGCAGAGGTAGTGATGGGTTTCCAGTGGTGGTGGAACTGAGTCCAGTTGATAAATGGCTGAGATCGATGATGAGCTAACATATTAAATTTAATTTAGAGCCGATTTGATTAGCTATTTATTTGATATAAAATATACTTAAAATATATTAATATTAAAATTTTATTTTAAATTCATATTATTTTGTATCTTTTATAATAAACAAGCTGGCTCATGGGTTAACTCGAACTTATAGATTTAAGGTTAATCTCGAGTTCGAGCTTGAACTTAGTTAAATAATCAAGCTTAAGTTGATGAGTTAATATTATGTGCGCTGGACGTACGTAGACCCAACAGCACGAATACAGGGGGTCGCGGCAGTTTTTTATTTTTTCACCCTATTGAAGCCGCGATATACAAACGGGAGGGCATATGTAATATTTTTTACAAGTCGATGGTGGCCTGAACACGACTCAGCTCAGCTCAATTCACTTATACCATCACTTTCCAATTGCTGACCTCGGCAATGATGAAAGCACCTTTTATTGGACAAGCCGGATTAATTAAATTTAGAGGATAAAGATGATTAGGATGAAAATAGGGGATGTTAGTTGAAAATGTCTTATTGATTGTTTTATATTGGTGTTTGCCATTATTTACGCGTAATTCATGTCTTATAGTTTGTTTTATTAGGGAATAATACCCTCTTTAATTGCAATATGATAATTATATTCATTCATTAGAGTCGTTCAATTTATTTTGAATGATTGAATTGTTTGTTTTCTAATCTTGATAAACATTTAAAAATTAGGTAATGCCAATTCAATGTTTTAAATTAATTGAAATGTCTAGGATTAATACATCTTGATAAATCAATTTATTTTGAATGGTTGGGGGAGATTATTTTGATGATGGGAGGTAGAAGGTAACTGACAAGGTAATTAGCTCTAAGAAGAGCATCAGTTCAGAATTATGATGGTAGGGAAGATTCTAATATCAGTATGTGAGTTATTTCTTTAAGGTGATGATGTGCATGCATTGGTGTAGGATACCAATTTGTTTTAAGGCAGTAGAAAAATTAGTAAGGCATTCACCTTCTCCATTAATTATGAGACCTTTAAAGTTGGCGTTGTGTGATTTTTAGCCATGTTTTTAAACTCAACAAACTTTAAGAAGGGTTTTGACTTCTAAACCTTAAGATAAAACCATCTTTGTTTTATGTAATCATCAAGAAACAAAACATAATATCTATAGCCATGGACAAAGGGAGTGAGAGAAGGGTCCCAAACATCATTAATAAGCAACTATATGGGTGAGCTAGTATAGTATTGTGATCTAATAAATAATAAATTGGTACTTTTGGATATATGACAAGTGTTGTAGGTGAGCTGATGAGGTTGTTGCTACAATATATGATGTGATTTAGCAATGTCGGAGAGGATGGTTGCATGAGGATGACAATCTTTAATGCCATAGAATTGTAACTAACTTGATTGAGAACAATGTATATGTGGAGAAAATTGGTCTTGGATGATGGAAGCTTTGATGGAGTAGTGTCCTTTAAGACAAGGACCATTGATAAAAAGTCATCCAGTCTTCTTGTCCCAAACCTTAAAGGTATTGGATTCAAAGAGAAAAGTAAATGAATTATCATTAGTGAGTTTATTGGTAGAAGTTAGATTATGGGAAAGGTTAGAAACATAGAGAAGTTTTCTTAAGTTTAACTTACTTTTAAGAGTGGAAATAGGCCTCGACATGTATGGGAGATGGCTAAGGTCTTCCTATTGCTAAGGATATTCAGTGATTGCCTTGATAGGAGATTGGATTTTGAAGATGTTATGCTTCAAAGGTTAAGTGAGATGTAGTTATTAAATCCAATATCCAAATGGTAGAGGGTTTGGTTTGTTGTGTTTTGTTCTCAATAATTAGAACTTGTGGTTTAGATGACACTCTATTATAGTTGAGGTATTGACAATGCTAATAATTTGTTGTTGTATGGTCTCATTTACAATAGATATGATAATTTAGGATCATAATGGAAGTGTGTTCATTTTTGAATGATGGTTGCTTTTAGAGTGATCGTCATCTAGTTGATGAAGAAAACCAATTGTGAGATCCTCCTCTAGTTGTTGTTAATGTCGTATGTGATTGAGATTGCTGAGAGAGTTCAAGTCCTTTCATTACTTCAATAGCAAGATTGACCTCATCACTGCAAAGAATGGAATAGAACTCAACCACGCTGATTGGCTAAAGATTGGTTTGAATTGTTGTTTTGAATGATTGATGGATGATTGGGAATCCATTGAGTTTATATAGGACGATACCTTCAAGAGATACTAGGATACTAGCAGAGGCTATGTCCTTTGTTTTTCTCTTAATGTCAGACAAGTATTGTGTCATGATTCTTCAAGCATATGGATGTTGTAAAAGATACATGCATGATATACGGTTGAAGTTAAGATATGCATACATGATAAATGTGTTGAATTAGTTATTAGGTCATTAAATCAATTTGGATTTATTTGTAGATTTTAATATATGGCTGAGGGTAATCTAATTTTTAAAATATATGACAAGAGGTAGAACATATGAAAGTAGAAATGGGGAGATAGTTGCATGGAGTGCAATAGTTAGGTTTTAATTGATTACAAACCATATCTGAAAAACTGTGGTTGGGTGTGAAGGATCCTTCAGTTATAATTAGGTGTTTGTCTGGTGGTGAGACACTTCCTATAAGGTAACCTTCAAACCCATTGGCTTTAATTGTTTAAGAACTTGAGCACACCATGTGAGCTAGGTTTTTTTTAGAGAAGAATGGTGAGAGTATTTGTGTGGTTATTCATAAAGAAAATTGAGTTGATTGAGGATGGGCGTACAAAAAATCTAAAGACATTGGAGGCTTCTCAGAGTCTATTAGAGAAGAATGATAGAAGTTCTACAACTATGTCAATGTTGGTAGGAAGGGGAATCAGTTGCTTCGATATCATGAAAATATCCATGAAAGGGTAGAAAGTACATATATAAATTACCTATGAAAATGAGAGTGGTACTTCAGTGTATTGAGCTATACTAGTACACCATATATCCGAGGAGGCTATGGATGGATGAATGACTTAGAACTATTTGGATTGTACGGGTGGATGTTGACTTGCGTTTATGATTGTATGGCCTTTATATTAAAAGGCCAACCTAAACTTAACCCACCTATAACACGAGTAAATTGACTTTGATCCAAATAACTAATTTAACATATTTATTAACAATAACTAATAAAAAATTTTATTCTTACAAATAAGATACATGCTGATAAAAAAAATACATTTTTAAATTGTAAATGTGAATATTGAAAATGAGATGAGATAAAAAAATATATGAATTTTATGGATTTTAATCGAATTAGCTAGTCGACACAAATAACTTAGAAATTAAAAGATGGCACGAGTGTTTATCATTTTCTAAAAGCGCAAACAATCATGATTAAGGGAGATGATTAAGAAATATTGGGCATCTTTTTTGTATTAAACTCATTTTGATAAAGTAAATATTGCTTGAAGCAATAAGAAACTCATGCGGAAAGCAAATTTGTCCCTTCTTAAAACATAAACAAGACTATTTATGGAAGTGCCCTGAAAGTAAATGATTTAGGTCTATCAGATTAGTCTTGTTTACATAATTAAATTACATCAAATTAGTCGCAAATACCAGCCAAAATAAGTTTGGCTCAAAGTCATAGCCCCCAAATGACTTATTGTACTAATAAGTAAGCTTGGCTATTAAATTTTTACACATAAGACGTCAATTTTCATTGTCTTGGAGATCGGAAAAATACTATGTGAAGTTGTAAAATACTGAATTTAGCCTAATTGTTGGGTGTTATATCTAACCAGAGGGTTTTAAGACCTATCACATGTGAGTTTATGCTGGGGTTAAGAAAAAAGAAAAAAAAAGGCATATGATAAAATAGGGTCACCAATATTTCTCATAAATAAATGAAATAACAAGATAGATGAATATGCATCTATCATGTATTAACATATTAAGAATTTTTAAATCTGTCAAGGCCTACATCCCATTTCACCAGAAGAAACATCCTTTTTTTCAACTAAAAACATTAGAAATAAACATAATCAGTCAACAAATATAATCAATAGATTACTAGAAACTAGCATAAACAACATAGCCAACATCACCTCAACATATCCTTTACGTCGGATGAAAGAACACTTCCCAGAAACCTTAGGTGTCGTCTAACAACAAGTTTACGTCGAACTTAATTTAAATCTTACCAAACACAAAAATGGCAACTTTTACTTAGTTTGATAAATCCTCTTTAACATAAATTCAAGCGGTAGCCAAACACCGCCTAAAGCATTTAATTCATACAAAATCTTAAAAGCAAACATCACAGCAGAAACGTTATTAGCAGAGTTGCAGAAACATCTGAAATTAAAGTCTCAAATGAAATCATGAAAGCTCCATAGAACTGAGCCCCCACCGCACTAAAGCAACCAGTTTTGGCAAGCTAGACTCCAATAATTGAACTCCTCACGACGACAATCACCAACTGAAGCTGCTCACCGCCATCGACTCTAGTGCCGGAGCTGACCACACAGACGCCGAAAGAAGCCGGCAATTCTTCCAACAGAACACAAGCTTGTTAGACCCTTCCTCCTGCACTCTGTACCCATCATTAAAAAGCCCAAGCAAAAGCCTGGATTGACAGAGGTTGAAGAAGCTCAGCCCCACCGTTCCAAACCCCACCTCCTCCATCCACTCCGCCCATCCTTCCCTCTCCTCTCCCCCCTCCTCCCGTCGCCTGTAAGCCCTACTCACCGATCCGGCAATCATCGGCCCCAATATTAACTTTTCTACAACTCCCCTCGCTGCCCCCTGCATCGGAAACCCTGCTTCAAGAGAGTCCCAAATCGCCGAGTACCTCTTCATCTCCTCCATGAACGATCCAACAAAACCCCCGTTCACATCACCGCCACAGCACGCCACGGCTTCCTCCACCACCGTCACAACCCGAGCTCCGAGCTCTCCGGCGCTTCTGAGAAAGGAGGCGACGGACGCTGCAGAACGCCATGGAAGATGCGGCGGCCCTTCCACACCCTTCCCCGCCGCCGGCCGCAGCTGATCATCGGCGTCCATTCGGCACTGCCCGAAGGAGAAGGAAAGCCCGACCGAGGCCGCGAAGGCCGCCAACCTCCGTCCTGTATCCATAACCGAAGTCCCCGAACGCCGGTTGCCGCCGCAGCGCGTCACGGCCGTGATTCG